ACGCCTATATGGATATGCGATGTGAAAGACGCATATTTAAACGTGGAGCAACCCACGACGAGCCGGTGGTGGTGCTGATTGGCGACCACTACTTCGAGCTTGGCCGCGTACTCCCCGGACAACGTCGTGGTGCACAGGTGTGGTGGCGACAGTTGCAAGGAGACCTCAGCGAGTGCAACATGGAGGGCCTCCCTGAGGTGCCCGCTTTGCTTCGCAGCCTTGAAGGCCGGCAGGCCACCCAGGTGCACGTGGATGATATGATGATGACGGGCGACGAGGAGCCCACCAACAAGGTTGTCTCCACCTTGAAGGACAAGTACGAGATGAAGGTTCAAGGCCCCTTTGGCTCACCGGGCGACGAGTGGAACTTCTTGAACCGGCGGTACACCGTTGAGGAGGATTTCTCCATTACGGTGCGACCCGATGCAAAGTTCTACGTCGACATCAATGAGATGCTCGGGCAGCCACGTGCCCGCTCCACTCCCGGACCGGGTAGAGGCGACAGCCTGTTCAACGTGGACACCACCAAGCCCTTGGACAGTGCAGACTCCCGGCTGTTCCGGACCATGGTCGGTAAGCTCTTGTACTTGAGCAACGAGCGGCCCGATGCCCAGGTGGTGATACAGTACCTGGCCTCCAAATCGAGCTGCCCCACGGAGCAGTCGATGAAAATCCTCAAGCACCTGCCTGGCTACTTGTATGCCACCCGTGGCTATGGCGTGAACGTAAAGAACCGAGCTGGTGTGTCGATCCTCGGGGCAACCACATCAACCACGACCCGGTTTGCAATGCTTTGGTGGAGGCCGTCAGCGACAGCAACTTTGCAAACGACCGCGAGACCCGCCGGAGCTTGTCTTCAGGGCAGGTCTACCTCAACAGCGCGTTGGTGTACAGTTTCGTGAGGAACCAGAAGGTCGTCACTCTGTCGAGTGGCGAAGCAGAGCTTGTGGCACTGACGCAGACGGTCTCGGAGGCAGTGCTCATCAAGAAGGCTTGGGCTTTCATCTTTGACGGCCCAGTGGACATGATCGCCCGCACTGACTCGAGTGTGGCACGGGCAATCGCCCAAAGAGCAGGCGTCGGCAGAGTGCGCCACCTGCAGACTTCATGTCTATGGATACAGATGTGGACAGCCTCTAAAGAGCTCAAGGTCCTGGCCATCCCCACCGAGACCAACCCAGCTGATGCTGGAACTAAGGTGCTTACCGGAGCACGGCTCAAGAAGCTATGCGGCTCGATGGGCATGGTGGATGGCAGCGGCAACTTGATCAAGGACGACACCAACCACAAGGCCAAAGCTGGAAATGCGATCAAGGTGCTCATGATGGTGCAAGCGTTGTTGGCCACCACCCAGCTTGAAGGGATGTGACAATGGACGCCCCGATGACCTGAATTACATCCTGGACTACCTCCTCGAGAGCTTCTATGTCATCGGCTATATGCTTTCTATGGTTGGTGGCGGCTACCTCTACGTGTTGGCCGGCATCATCGTGATGATCCTCAGCGTCTACCTGGTCTTTGGCGCGCGCTGGCGAGTTACTTTTGTGCTAGAGAACCGCCCCTACACTTCAGGGCTTGGGCCGGGCTACGCAGATGGTGGTTCAACTCCCGAGGGGGCGCCTTCCAGCGCTTCGAGAGGAGACGCCGAGAACGACAACACCAACGAGGACCAGATCTTCGAGGACACCTCTGGCAACGCAACGAGTTCGAGAACACCTTTGCTGGACACAGCGAGCCCGAGAACACCTTTGGACACAGCGAGTTCGAGAACACCTTTGGACACAGTGCGACAACGAGTTCGAGGACACCTTTGG